ATTAGAACATATTTTATTTTTTAAAATAATACTTATTTGTGCTGATAGTTCACTAAGATACGATCACAGCATATCCTAAAAAATGAAATCAATAGACATTAGCATCAGAATCATAAATTGAGAACAATACGTATTATTCTATACTACAACCAATTTTGTCGTAATCTTTTCTTAATATTTTCTTATTAACACGTATTGTTGAGGAACGGATAATATGTTATAATTATACTGGGTCAAGTTTTAAGAGAGAGGTATTAATTTTTTTATATTATATGTTAATTTATGTTATTTGCAGTTTTAGATCTTACTAAAGAATTATATGGATATTATATATATACATATATATATGTATATATATATTTAATAAGTGGATATAAAAAATGTATATAAGGCAATATATCTGCATGTTTTTATTGTCAATCTACTTGCATTTAAGCATTTCCTAACCTACAATATTATATATTATTATAAATACTTAAACACATTTATTAACATGATTACATACTTTATTAACACTGTCATTATTAATACTCATTTATTTATTTATGATAATAAATTTTGATAATATATATATAGTATTACCTTGTTATCTCTTTGTGCGAGTATGTATCCCATATGTGACCACACGTCCCAATTTCCTTCTCAATTAATATATCTGCCATCACATTGTTTTTAGCATTTAGACTTTAAGTACTTGCGCTATTACGGAAATATTTTACCTGCCTCGCCATTGTTTAGGCCAACACTAATTCCATATATTTTTTACATTATTTTTTTAAACAGAAATACATTTAATCTTAAAAATAGAAATACGTTTAATCTTAAATAGAAATACATTTTAATTATATGTAATTATTTGTGTATTTAAATATCGCGGGTGCATTTGGACCCAAATGTGATTGGTCGAAGCGCATACTACTGCGCCACGGGAATGTTACACCTGGGGATCGATTCTGTATCTTGAAACGAGGTAAAAATTACAAAAGTGAGTGAATTTACTAGAATACTGATAATTTCATTGGTCAACACCAAGGGGGTCGATTCTCCATCTTCAAACAAGGTGAAAATTACAAAAGTGAGCAAATTTACTAGGTGTTGACCAATTAAATTATCAGTATTCTAGTAAATTCAATCACTTTTGTAATTTTCACCTCGTTTCAAGATACAGAATCGATCCCCTTCTTGTCTTATTACACCATGAACAACACTGCAACAGACTAGTAAAAGGAACCGTTCAAATTGAACAAAATATCTCTGAACAGTACTTTTCTAGTTCCGTTCATTTTTTCCGTGGGGTTTCGAATCTTTCGGTCAGTAAAAGGATCCGTTCAAAGCATCGACATCTAGGGTGCGTTCCGTTTCTTGCATGATGCGCATAATGCGTCGTTTATCCTTGTTGCTCACCAAATGTTAAACAAGGACAATGGATGCATCATGCGCACCATGCGCGTTACGGAACGCACCTCTAGAATGGACCGCTGATGGCAATGGTGGAGGTAGAAAGACGATTAGAGTTTTTTTCCTGCCTCTCACTCTAATCGTCTTTCTACCCCCACCATTGCCATCAGCGGTCCATTCTAGATGTCGATGGTTCAAAGTGAACGGAACGTTCATGAATGACACATATCTCTACTTCGCGTGGAAAGTCGAAACCCATGTGGAATGTGGAACAGTGAAATTATAGACCTCATTTTGCCTTTGTAACAGATTTTCTAACCTTAGTAGTTGTCATCTTTAATAATTAATATCTCGGCTCACAGCTCAGCGACACTTTTTGTGCTAGATTCTTTCGTTTCATGTAAAAACGTGTCGAATAAACCTAATTTTATTGATTTTCGAAGTGGGATAGCTAAACTGAATAATTACTGGATTTACACATAATTCGGTATAGTCTGCTTAAAGACTATACCGATCGCGATGGCATCGAGTAGAAGTACAAGAGAAGTTCTATTATCGCTGGTGGATGATATCGAGTTAATAGCAAAGTAAGTTACATTTACTATCAGTAATAAATGTGTTTTATATTAATTTTCCTAAGTATTTTTAATAACACTTTTCGGTAATTCTTTAAAATAGCTACCTTGCCTCCAATTTCGATGAAATTAGGATCATTCTACGCGTTTGTGCATAAAATAAAAGAATCTGGTAGAAAAAAAGTACGGGACTGCCTTAGAAAGTGAAATATTGAGCGTTAAAGTTGATAACTATTGAGGTTAAGTTACCTCTGATTTCGATGAGATTATGCTCATTCGACGTGTTTTTGCATAAAATAAAAGAATCTGGCAGAAAAAAGTCCGAGACTGCTCTGCGAAGCCAGATATTGAGTGTTAAAGTTGACTACAGTGTTACTACGTATGTAACACAATCATTAATCTGTCGTGTAGACAGAAGGTATATAGACTAGTGCTTGTTACAAAAAAAAGACATTCAACCCGCTTGGGACCTAATCACCTAGAAGTTACAGCCTAGACAGTGTCTGCTTGGAATATTTTTAACCCATGAAGACAATAGGGTGTGAGAACAGTTTTTTTAGAGCAGTTTTTTTATTGTTGTCTAGGCTGTAACTTTTAGACAGTTAAGCCCCAAGCGGATAAGATGTATTACTTTTTTTTTGTTCGGGGCGGCGTAGCTGCCATGACAGATTTTCTAACCTCAATAATTGTCAATTTTAACGCTCAATATCTTGCTTCATAGGACAGTCCCAGACTTTTTTCTGTCAGATTCTTTCATTTTACGTAAAAACGTGTCGAATGAGTCTAATTTAATCGAATTCGGAGGTGAGGTAGCTATTCTGAAGAATTACCTTTTAAAAACAAATTTACTGTTTTCAAAATAAAAATAATATAAGAAAATAATGTGTTTTTAAAGTAGTAAATTTGTCTTCTTAAAGCAATGAATTTGTTTATAAAGTAGTAAATTTGTTTTTAAAGTAATAAATTTGTTTGTAAAGCAGAGGATTTGTTTTAAAATCGTGGATTTGTGTTTTAGAGCAGAGAACTTATTTTAAAGTAACGAATTTGAAACCGCAGCGCATGCTTACATTGCAGTATTTCATGGCCGACAGATTTCCTAACCGTCGTCAACTTTAACGTTTAATGTCTCGGTTTGTAGGGCAGAGCGATACTTTTTTCTTGTAGAATCTTTATTTTTACGCGAAAACGCATTGATTGAGATTTATTTTTATCAAAATTTGAGGTGACCGGGATATTGTGAACCTTTACATAGTATTTTATGTAATTGGAGTAAAAATAAAATATTTGGAGAATTTTAAAAGGGATTTGTAATTAATTGATTAATCTAGGTTTTCACTTTATATATTTTACTTTTTTTTTGCAATTTAAAATATTTGTTTTCAGAGAGATGATAGAAAACACAATCGCTCAGAAACCTTCAAAGCTTTCGAGCACAGAGCATGCTCAGTTAACTGAATTGTTAGTTGCCAAGGATAATGAATTAAAAGCGACGTTGAAACGGGCCACTGAACAGGCTAAAATTAACTTGAAGATGGAGGCATTGAAAACCGAGGTAGAGAGGCAAGACCAGGATATCCAGCAGCTGCAACGACAGTTGAAAGAAGCAGAACAGATTTTGGCTACTGCGATTTATCAAGCAAAACAGAAATTACAATCTATCGCACGTGCCAATAAGAGACCAGTCCCTTCGGAAGAGCTTATTAAATATGCACATAGAATAAGCGCAACCAATGCCATTTGTGCACCTTTAACATGGCAGCAGGGAGATCCCAGAAGACCATATCCTACAGATCTCGAAATGAGAGTAGGATTCCTAGGACGGTTGAGCGACCCAAGCAATCTACCTTTGAATGGACAATTACTTGGATCTCATCTAGGAGTACCATCAGATTTACATAGGGCAGGACATCCTGCTGGAGGTAAAATCTTGTGTGTGTGTGCGTGTGTGTATGTGCGTCCGTGCATACGTGTGTGTATATGTCACACACATTTGAATTGATATAAGAATGAACAGGTTTTAAAGAGAGTTTAGTAATTATTTAGAATAGATTTTTGTTATTTCAGAACCACCTGTTTCACAATCGAACCAATTTGCCTGGCATCCATCAGGAGAGATTCACATGTCGGTTGGTGGACAGGGCAGTGTAGCGGTGAATACACATAAACAAGAAACAGAAGACGTCGAAGTTATGTCTACAGACTCTTCGAGTAGCTCTTCTAGTGATTCTCAATAGATATTATTTATACCGTATCAAGCTGAAAACACAAATAGAAACAGGGAACAGGGAATAATGAGTCATCCAATCAGAGCTCTGGGGTATATCAAACTTATTCCGTTTCCTGTTCCTATTGCCTGTGCCTATTGTGTTTCCAGCTTTAGAGAAAAGTAAAATATTTTTCTCAATAAAACTTAAATCATCTGTATAAAATTATGTATATATATATATACATATATACAAGGGGCCCCACAATTTTTTGCCAAGCGCTTTTGTGTAAATAGAGCGGACTGAACTAAATTAAGAAGTCCTCTACTATTTTGCAATTCTTGCAATATTTAACAAGATATTAATTACGAAAAATCACTGAATATTGGTTTTCAATAATTTTTTAAAAAACAGAAGGGAAAAAGGCACTCGAGAGTCGATACTTCAATGTTAAAATGATCATATCATATTGAAAATATTCATTACAAAAGTACAATAATTTAGAAAATAAAGGTGTTTAAACATGACTAGTTTCGGCTTCCAATTTGAGCCCTCTTCAGATGTTCGACAAAATTTTGCGCAATATAATTATCAAAAAAAAAATATATAAAATTCACAAAATGATATAAGTTGCCGGTCATTTTAAATGTAATGATAGTAGTATTCTCTCAGAGGGACGAAAAACCCGTCAAGCGATTGGAAGATCGTTTGCGAAAGATCCTCGTAATTCTAAAGGTAAAACAAAAAAAAACGTTGCCAATTATCCAACCACGTAGTCAAAACAAGAAACTCGTCACTCTGATAAAACACTTACCTCTGGAAAAATCCAAAAAATTCATATTGATAAAAAGTTCGCCAAAAATAAGGTCAATATTGTAAAAGGTAACTGTTATCGCATCACAATGGTGAAGTCAGTGATAAAATAATATGAAATAATCATATAAATGTAACACGTCCGAATATAAAATAAGACTAGACGACATATTCACTCGACGTGCGAAACTTGGTCATGCAAAATCAGACTCTGTTTATGATCGGAATATATGATTTATGTAGCCCCTCTGTGTCGGTCTGTAAGTTAAGACTGTTGTTTTGTTTTTTGATATTCAACATCTCCGAAACTAAACATTTATTGTAAAAATGTTCTTCGTCCAAGATTCAAATATCGTTCCAATTGAAATCGTGTCCTTGTTGTAATCTATGTTCGGTAATCACAGACTTCGAACTGGTATTCCAATGTATATGATTGCGATGTTCTGCAAATCCTTGTTTTTAATCTTCTTCCCGTTTGTCCCACGTAGGAAGCATCACAGTCTTTACAATTTATTTTATAAACTACGTTAGACTTCGACAGAGAGTCTACTCGATCTTTTTGCACCTTTATGTACTTATTCAGTTTATTGGAGCTAAAAAATGAAACCTTAATATCGTTCCTGTCAAATTGCTTAAATTTTTCGGTAAGAACCGGCACGTAAGGAACTGTGAACCACAAAATGTCAGTGAAAGGTTCTTTACTATTAAATGAAATATTGGCACCAGTTAAATTATTATGTATGATGACTTTAATTCTGTTGTTGATACATTCAAAGATGAATTTAATAGGGTAATCATTTTTAATTAATGTATCAATAATAAAAGTTATATTTTTGGAATGAAAATCAAAATCCGATAGCATTAACGCTCTGTCAACTAAGTTAAAAATAATGCCTTCCTTTTGAAAAATCGGATGGTTTGAGTGAAAATTTAAAAATCTGCCTGAAAAAGTGGGTTTCCGGTACCAGTCAAAGATTAAAAAATGGTCTTTGATGATAATCGAAGTATCCAGGGAATTCAGAGAATTATCACCCACTTCCAAAGTGAATTGTAAACGCGGATGAAACGAATTAAAGGCATTAAAAAAAGCATCAACTTCAGAAACGTGCAATGCCGCGCATATATCATCTACATATCGATAATAAAACAAACAATTATCTTTAAACAACATCAAGGCTGAATCCTCCAGTCTTTGCATAACCAAGTCAGCAACGATGGGTGACCCCATGGGCGTGCCAAAATTCTATCTATAAATAACATTGTCAAACGAAAAAAAAGTAGAATCCAAAATAAATGTAATCGCTTTGAGAAATTCTGTTTTCGGTATCATACATTTTTTGGAAATGTGTGACCATTTCTCGTTAATGCAATCAACTGCCAAGTCCATCGGCACGTTAGTAAATAATGATATGACATCTAAAGAAATCAGTTTATAATTATCTTTGATGTGCATTCCTTTGAGATTATCAATCAACTGAAAGCTGTTTTTTATGTAACTGTTTGCTTTGGGTAAAGAAAAAATAATTTTTTACTCAAATCTATCAAACTATCAACTTTATAGAAAAATAGCAAAAAACAAAAATGCTTTTTTTTTCATATAGTTCTGAGAATTTTTTCAGAATTTTTTAATATCGATTTTCTCATGTTAGTAAAAATAGTTAGTAATAATACAGGGTGTCCTATTTTAGTGTCCCATCCCAAATAACTTATTTTTGATCTTAGAAAAAAATGTTTCAGACAAAACTTGTATGGCTCTGAGGAGGACATAAGGTGGTGTCATTGAGTTTGACCTTGAATAGTTGCTTGAAGGTCATGTGAAGGCTACCTTTAATTTTTTAAATGGAACCCTCTACTTTTTATTGCACATTCTTGTAGATCATCTCGAGAGCTTTCCAAAATACTATAATTGAGTTCATTTTCATCAAGTACTTTTCGAGTTATAAAGCTTGGAAGTTACAGCACTGCCGGCATTAGTATTACCACCGACGAGATACTATTAAAGACCGACATCCTTACGGGAGTTCGCGTCCTTGTGAATATTGAAGTGATAACTCTGATAATATTGTACTAATTTTATGATTTATTAGTTTAGTATTTATGCACAGTAGATGTATTTATGCATTTATAACTCAATAATACTCGATTTTTCTTTAAAATTGAGATTTCAGTGTTATCATCAAAGTTTGATTATCAATAAAGATGATAATT